AGCCCATGCCCCCAAAGAACTTGGTAACCCCGCCCCCCCCCCCCCCCCCCCCCGTCCAAAACTCCCTAGGGCAAAATTCCAATTAAAAAACCGTATTGTGCAAAAACGCTCTCGACTTAGCTTGTAGGCTGCGGTAAATTCATCGCAATGATACTGAATAATACGCGAGCGTAAAAATATCCTGTGCGCAGAGATCCTTCGAGTTAGGATGATCTAGGAAGATTGAAAGGCCTCTGTTCGCAGGTAGCGTGAAACAAACGTATGCATAAAAACAGATTAGTTTACTAAGGGAAAACAATGAATCAGGAAAGCAAACAGAGATAAATGCACAACGCCAGAGACATCACGAACGAGATTTTCAAATATTTGTTGAATTAGTGCTAAATAGCAGCCATAAAAGACATGATATTGTAGGAACCCGAAGAGCATATTTGATCCACGCCGATGGTTTTCCAGGAGTCATCCAAACGCCATGAATATTCTTTAAAAAGAAACGGAAAAAAACATACTAAAATAACTCGGGAAAAACGAGTCTGCCACAGGCAGCCCAATGACAAGAATATAATTGTACCAAACGCCGGATCTACAAAGTTCTATGGACGGGTAACTATTATAGTTTTGTCACTGAAAGTTAGCGAGCGGTGCGGTGCTGCTGACTGAGTCGTGGTTCACCTCTAAGGTACGGATGAAAAGGTACAGGCCCCCCATATGAGAAAAAAAAGGAACCCGACGAGCTTGTAAATATTTGTGTGGCACCACACGCAGCGCCCACACACAGACAGCTCACACAAGGGGGCACACAATTATTGAATGAGCTTTTTGTGGTATCCGGAATAATAAAGGTCGAAGTAAAGGGTACGTACTACTAGCTTTAGCATTCGGCCTCTGCTGATAATACTTAGCGAGATTTTCACTGTTCCAGATATCACAATAACCGAATGTAATGATTGTTTTGACACACCGTCGCACGGAACACAGTTTGACGTTGCTATCATGCATTGCGCACGCAAGCTACAGTAACTAAACTGTAGGTTGTCCTGCAATAGTAGTGTCCAAAATTAACGACGGGCTCTTAGCCAGTGTGAACAAATTTATTATGTGTACAATGTAGAATGAAGCTACTCTTTGCACCTTTTTAGAAAGTATCATGGGCAGTAATTACAGCATTTTATTTGAAAATACCATAGAAAGTAGCTAGGTCAAGAAAATGAAAACTACTTAAGATTTCCCTTTTTCAAACCAAGAGTGGAATATACTGCCCTGTGGGAAGGAAATCTCTAAAAAAATGGCCCTAAGTACTTTGTTAACCCCACCCCCCCACCCCCCCCCCCCGTCCAAAACTCCCTGGGGCAAAATTCCAATTAAAAAACCGTATTGTGCAAAAACGCTCTCGGCTTAGCTTGTAGGCTGCGGTAAATTCATCGCAATGATACTGAATAATACGCGAGCGTAAAAATATCCTGTGCGCAGAGATCCTTCGAGTTAGGATGATCTAGGAAGATTGAAGGGCCTCTGTTCGCAGGTAGCGTGAAACAAACGTATGTATAAAAACACATTAGTTTACTAAGGGAAAACAATGAATCAGGAAAGCAAACAGAGATAAATGCACAACACCACTGACATCACGAACGAGATTTTCAAATCTTTGTTGAATTAGTGCTAAATGGCAGCCATGCATAAAAGACATGATATTGTAGGAACCCGAAGGGCATATTTGATCCACGCCGATGGTTTTCCAGGAGTCATCCAAACGCCATGAATATTCTTTAAAAAGAACAAAAAAAAAACATATTAAAATAACTCGGGAAAAACGAGCTCTGCCACAGGCAGCCCAATGACAAGAATATAATTTTACCCCAAGCCGGATCTACAAAGTTCTATGGACGGGTAACTATTATAGTTTTGTCACTGAAAGTTGGCGAGCGGTGCGGTTGTGCTGCTGACTGAGTCGCAGTTCACCTTTAAGGTACGGATGAAAAGGTACAGGCCCCCAATATGAGAAAAAAAAGGAACCTGGCGAGCTTGTAAATATTTGTGTGGCACCACACGCAGCGCCCACACACAGACAGCTCACACAAGGGGGCACACAATTATTGGATGAGGTTTTTGTGATATCCGGAATAATAAAGGTCGAAGTAAAGGGTAAGTACTACTAGCCTTAGCATTCGGCCTCTGCTGATAATACTTAGCGAGACCTTCACTGTTCCGGATATCACAATAACCGAATGTAATGATTGTTTTGACACACCGTCGCACGGAACACAGTTGGACGTTGCTATCATGCATTGCGCACGCAAGCTACAGTAACTAAACTGTAGGTTGCCCTGCAATAGTGGTGTCCAAAATTAACGACAGGCTCTTAGTCAGCTAGTGTGAACAAATTTATTATGTGTACAATGTACAAAGATGCTACTCTTTGCACCTTTTTAGAAAGTATCATGGGCAGTAATAATTACAGCATTTTATTTGAAAATACCATAGAAAGTAGCTAGGTCAAGAAAATGAAAACTACTTAAGATTTCCCTTTTTCAAACCAAGAGTGGAATATACTGCCCTGTGGGAAGGAAATCTCTAAAATTGGCGAATTCCCTGAAAACACCCAATGACTTCCCAGCATCCTTCAGTATAGCACGTTCGTAAGTAATTCAAGGAAATCATTAAGTGAAATAGCCGGTTCCAGACACCTGTTGCTTGTTCGATTTTATTTTATTTTTGTACAATTCTCTTCATTATTCTCTCCTAAACATTTTTCCCCGAGTTGCTTTCGTAAAAAATGACAAAAATGTCCTTTCTATGATTTAAACGCGACGTAAACAAGAAATTTAAAAAACATTGCGACTTCAATTTGCATGTGATCGACAGCACTTGAATTGCTTTTTTGGTTGTAGCTGAGTATCCTTTAGTCAGTGTAAATTAAGCACGTTGGCAACTTATCAAGAACATGTGGATCTGTTCTACAGGTACTTTATGCTCATTAAATAAACCATACAGAGTTAAAAATTTAATTATTTGTTTGTCACTGAAATAAGGCATTTTCCATGCAACCTTACACGAGTTTCAATATTTTTCATCGTCACGAAAATCCAATTTAAGGTCGAACAACTATTCTATTTGTGAGAAAAATATACTGAATATTACGCAAAATAGCTATTTCTTCCGTAAGTATATCTGATAAATTAACAGAATTTTTTGGCATTCAGCTTTATTTGCTTCACGAGCCGAGAAACATTTACAACAACCAAGCCAGTGTAGTTACTGACTAGTCTCTCCTGACATTCACATCACGTCACGGCAGAATCTGTTGCAGCGCGCATAATAACGAAATTCTGAAAACGGAAAATGAAATTTCTATTAATGTGTTCAGGTACAAAATGCGTTGCATGGCTTAAACTGTCAGAGGCTCGGCCTCCTTCCAGAGCGGCGGCCGTAACTGGTAGATCTAATGGATAATAATGTACGGAACAACTGCCACCTGTCCAAAAATTACCTGTTGAATTGACTCCGCAAGGTGCAATCATGAATAATTCTTTGCAATTCAACAGCTTTTGATCAGAAGCTCTGTAATTTATTAGCACCCTTACTGTCTTGATATCTACCTTGCTGCAGGTACGTGGATAGACAATTCGTACGCCGCTGAGTTGAACCAACGGGTCTTGGTTTCTGTGTACCATCTGTAATAACCTGTTTCCTAGTTCGTTTCTTCGTGAATCGGCGCCACGAAGTTCACTTTTTCGACTTATCGGACTTTTTATCTTACAAAATTAGAAGCTATTTCTATATTGAGACATCTCGGTGATAATAAACTTTAAACAGGCTGCCAGAAAGACGGCGAAACAGAAATTAGTTGATTAAGCAAAGCAAAGAATAAATAAGACGGCGAATTATCAACGAATTATCAAAGAAAACTGCAAACCCTTTTTTTAAAAAGAAACCAGGTAAAAAAAATTGATTTCAGTGTCTAAGAGGAGCGGCAAAGTCATCTTTACCTTAAGAAAGCAAAGATTGTTCAAATGACTTCGATATGACTGTATGTTAGAAAAATCCTATTCTCTCCTACGACTGGTCCATGGGGGCGTTTTCCCGAAAATTCAGTCCTAATATTGTATTTGATTAGACTCTCTTCTACTTAACTGCATCTAAAATCCGAATTGGTAGAGTTGTCATGTTTGATGGATAGTAATAAATTACTGGGCTTTAAGGAAACGGCCTTAAACATATAAAGTGAAAGCGGAAAATGCTTTTTAAAATGCCAAATAAGGATATTGAAACCTGGCAAGATAATATTGACTTAAAATTGTCACTCGCACTAGACATTTGGGAATTCGAAAAACACCTGTTGATTCTTGTATAAATTTTGGCTTTAAGATGAATAAAAGAAAACTAGACATCCAAAAATACTAAAAAAATTTAACAAAGGGACATAAAGAGAAAAATGCAGGAACTGGCTTCAGAGTGCCAGTGTAATAGAACTTTGACGAAGTTATAGTTTTAAAAGAAGTAAAACGATTTTGGCACGAGTGGTATCCGGACTATAAATGCGGTGAACTTTCTTCAGTACTTGTGTTATTGTGTCTTTGCTTTTGTTGTGGGTATTCGAACACATTGGCCAAGTATTAAACTTGGCTTTGAAATTTGGAACCCCCGATGATGATTTCACATTCGAAGGCACGCGCCATCTGTAAAGACACACTTCTTTTCAACCGGTATGGCGTCCTTGATTGTTGGGAAGTTCAATCGGTTAAACGTTTGGGGGAAAAAACGAATCGCTTTTCTTTTGTTTTTCTGCCCGTTTTCGGGGAGCAAAGCCGCCGGGTTATCTGTTTCGTCTGTTTCGGGGATTACAAAGAGTAAAATAGCCACCGCTATTACTGAAGTAACATTGTGAATTAAAGTAAAACGCGCACCGCCTTTTTGTATAAACGTGAAACACCGAAGAGCATTTCCGAAGCCTTTTGTTTTCAAGACCAATGCCGCATTCTCTAAGTTAAATTCTCGAAAAATTTTCATTCCTCGGAGAAAGAGGTCCGAGAAAAGCGCGGAGAGGAACGAAAAGTGACAGGCGAAGTGAGGCATTAAATTTACTGTAAAAAAATTTGCACCTTTTTTGTATTTTTTTGTTTCTATGACAAATGTAAAAGGCACAAAAGGCCCGGGATTTTTAAGATGATTCATTCATAGCGGAGGAGGATGACGGATCCTTTTAAATTTGTAATTATTTTTGCATATGCATTCTAAACTGTCGACTTATGCAAATTATTTCGAGCGCGAAAGAAAAGTTGGGGTGGGGTCGCCCATTGTCAACATTTGAACCGCAGTCAATAAGCGCTCTCGACTCGCATGAGTAAGCACGGATTTCCGTGAATTTATGAGCAACAAACCGCTTAGATAACTGCTCAGTTGTTTTAAAAAAGTTCAAAATCCTCGTCTATGGATGGGACAAAGTGTTGCTAGTGTTTTAACACATTTACGTGGGAAGAATTACTGGTGGTTGAACAGATCATACCGAAAGAATTTGTAAGTCCCGAAAGTAGTAACTTGGCCTTATATGGTGTAGGCCTTGGGGGGTTGTTTTCCGTAACAACCAATCAGCGGTAAGACCGCCAATTTTCAGCCAATCACCGTCGACCAAGGGTTCGATCCAAATAGCCAGTAACTGATTCACATCGAAGAAAAGTTCTGTTCTTATCATTCGCTCGGGAAAAATTTTTGCACCAGTTATTCCGAGATGATGAACAGCAGTTTTCAATCGATGGTTTTCTACGATACGCCAGACTCACTTTCTTTGCAAGAGATGGTGGAGTGCGACAGCCGCGAAATGGATTTTAACTTGAACGATCCACTGTTTCAACTGCAAGATAACGCATTATATCAGGACGTTCACCACACGATGACAGTGAAGCAAGAAAGGCCCAGAACGGAATGTACGCCTGCAGGCGACTTGACTAACTTGCAATGGCTGCAGAGCGTTAGCATACCCATGGAGAAAAACTCGGCCACGGAGAAACAAGTCATGGTGGATCCCAACACTGCCTTACCTGTGCAGTGGCCGACTCACCAGCAACAAGTTAATATGTCCCAAGTACCGCAACTGAACGTTACGGCTGTTCCAGCTCCACAAATTTTTCAGGCACGTGCAGCGGACTCGAAGCCCAAAACGTCGCAACACGGGCCGAAAAACGGCGTTAAAGATAGCATAAAATCGCAGGATAAACCGTACCCCAAGCCGCTGTTCTCGTATTCCTGTCTTATCGCCATGGCCTTGAAGAACAGTGATTCAGGCACACTCCCCGTCAGTGAAATTTACAAGTTCATGATGTAAGTTTCATTTGGCGCTTAAATGGACCATGTCAATTTCATAAATTTATATTTCGTGCGCGAACTGAGGTTTGATATTTGCTTTATTTTGCGTTGTACAGGGGCAAGTTTCCGTATTTTAAGACCGCTCCCGATGGCTGGAAGGTGAGTGGTAATGTATTTATCGAATCCATTCTTCGCATGGCCGGTACCTGCGAAGTTTGAATTTAAAAACATTTGCTCCATAGGTAGTAACGGCTCACGCTACACACATTCGTCGGTGAAAAGTAAAAAATATTCCACAAAATTTGACCATCCTTTCGGTTTTTTTCGATAAAGTGATTAGATCTTCGGAAGTTATGGGCTAACTTTGAAAACTTTACTTTCGTTATCTCAACGGTTTCCTGCAACTCCGCACTTGAATGGTTTTCCTCGCAGCATTACAATGGCTTCCGAACAGCTGACTTCGAATCGTTTGCAAAATTCTCGTTTTTTTTCCTCAAAGAAATCAGCTCTTCTTTTTGCTTATTTGCCATTAAAGCGAAAACTCGTATTAAAACCAGAAATAGGTGATATGGGAGAATTTCGTTGCGTTTTATTTTCTTATTTCTTCATGACAGCTCGTGATATTCGTGTTTACTAAATCGGATGTAACACAATGGATTTAATGGACGAATAGGAAGTGTTGCGAGCGAACTTCTTAATATTTTGTTCGTTCGATCGTTGATTCTATTTGAGGTTAAGTTTCCGAATCGAATGAATCAAGACATGGTAATAAATTGCTAACGAAATCGCGAACAAAAGAGTATGTCAAAATGGGTATTCAAAACAACGTTCATGTCATAGATAATTCGCGAATTGATTTCACACGAGGCTTGCGGAAAGACCTGATCTTCATTTTCCAATCTTTCTGAACAGCCCTTTCAGGGAAAACAATCGCAACTTCGCCTTCGTTAACTTTAGCACAGAAAATATTTTCGAGATTTTTCATGATAGAAAGAGGCAGATATCGTAGTCATGCTCAATTCGAATAGTAAGTTACAGCCAAGGGTGGGGCATGATTTTTATATACGGGAGGTCGCATGACAATTGCATACGAATTCTTTAGTCTTTTTGCGAAAACTTCGTATTTTCGAACTTTTCTTGCTTAAATTATCGCGCATTTTGTTCCCTTAATGTCGAAGGCACCAGACCGAGGGTATAGCAACAAACTCCACCCGGTATGTTAAGACTTCGGCTTTCTTTAGCTATAATTTTAAAATTTTCGGTTCAACGATTTCATTCTCTTTTACGAGACACGAAAACAAATCAAACCGATTTTATTAAAAGAAGGTTTCGCCAGAAGTGAAAACAAGGAATTCGTGCAATCCAAAAAAATATATATTTCTCCCCAAATAAGTTGTTTCTTTTTTAAGGTTTCCTTTCGTTACAACAGGTGGTTGATGTTTTGAATAATTTATGTCATTCTAATTAAGGTCTGTATTCCAAGAAGATGCTGCATATTAAATTTTGAATTCCTTTTTCCAATTTTCTTCCTTCACCCAAAAGGAAAAAAAGAAATCATAAAATCGACAGACAATAAAATAATCATGGCGTTTTTAAAGAATTTAGCCTCAAGATATATTTTAAATCTATCATTTGTAGAGCAATAAGGTGGTTGATTGTCGAAAACCTATTTATATTTCTCTAGAATTAAAGCTTTGTCTTGTCGACTCTATAATTTTTCTAGCATTTAGATATTTTCTGTGAATACTAGTTTTCCACAAAACTTGGATTTCTTTGTGTTAAAAGCTAAGTGAGAATTTTATCACAGGGATTGTGAAACATTTAATTCAAATCCATTTTGTAGCAAATACACTTCAGTGAGCACTTCCTAAATGTAAATTTATCCCTTTGAATCCTTTATTACAATGAATTCTTCCTTGCACAATGAATTTATTCAGTTCATTCTGAAAGCAATCTTTTTAACTTTTTTTTAAAATTGAAACATTAAAAATAGTGAAGTGTAGTTGCTGTATAGTATTTGAAAGACATACTTCCAAAATTATTATCTAAGGTGTAAGGTGAAAAATCTTCAACAAGTTCATGCTGGTAGCAAAATTGTTGTGGGAAGAGCTTCTTTATGAAAAAAATATTTCAGCCCAACTGCCTGTTAATATCTATCTTGTGGTAGTACCAAGTTGTTATATTTTCATAAATTCATACACTGAAGGTTATTCAATGCGAGGTTAACAAAATACTCCAAATTAATTTGCGAGACATAAATATGTCAAATTATTTTTGTAACATATCTCAGCAATTGAAATATATGACACTCAATTTTTTCTCTAAAGATGTTATTAATCTACATTCATCAGCACATCAATAATAAATAACTTTCATTACCACACCTCATTCTACAGTGATTTGGAGACTTCTCACATTTATTTGGAGTACTAAAATAAACTAGCCAAGATGAGTTAAGTTTGTCCATTTTTCTTAATATCAGTGTTCTTTTTAGTGGTACAAATGAAGGCAAATACACTCTTAGCCACAGAAGTGGGTTTCACGACATTATATTACCAAAAAGCTTTTGTCTTAAAAAAGTTCTAATTCTAAATATTTTGATATGCAAATGAAGAAGGACTAAACTTTTTGCACCATTTTTCAATTCAGTTATTTAAATATTTGCTGATTTTTGATTGAAATGGTTCAGTTTTCTCTTCAATGAAAACTATATCATCCTAGCCATAGTTCTTCATACCATGGCATTTGTACATATCTTTTTTGACGTTGATCTGTTGTTCTGTCTGTTAACCACATTCTGGACAATAATTATGAATAACAGGCTGTTTAGTCTGATGGAACATATTTGCAAGGACAATGCTTTGACACTGCCTAGTGAATACTTATTAACACCTACATTCTTGCTAGCAAGCAGAACAAACCAGGTCCTCACAACCAGGAAGTTAACAGTCTGTCCCAGAAAATCTCTTTCAAACTAGATCAGCTTCTCGGAAAGCCTTGTTAATTGCCCATATTATAATATTGATGGATAAGGTAGAAAAGGGAACAAACGTGTCTTAACTTACATAAAATGTCTGGTAAATAAGAAAAACTGAAACTAGACTACCATGTAGTAGCCTGAAAAGTGACATTTCTTGCTTTTATTTCTATAGGCTGGTGTTAATGATACCACATTTTTCTTATATTATTAATTCAAAATGTCAACTAATTAGCGCATTTAATGGTCAAAAACTTTTCATAAGAATAAATACATCAAGAGCTCGATGACTTATACATACACAAATTTCCTAAGAACTTGTGCCTTTGAAAGGATTTTATTTTAACAATTGACTGGATCAATGCATTTTTGCCAAGGACAAACTTATGAGCTATAAAAAATAAATTTTGAAAAGCTACCACTCAAAATAAGCAGTCAATATAAATTTAGAATACAGTAATAATTTAGTTCTAAATTTGCCCATCAATTAGGTTTAAGTCCATCCCTCATCACATTAATTTTGTTCTTATAGTGTAACAATAATAATATTGTTCTAAGTAGGTATAAATTTTAACAATGTATTTTATTCATTTCCAGAATTCTGTTCGGCACAACCTCTCATTAAACAAGGCATTCTGCAAGTTGGAGAGACCTCAGGGTGCCTCACAGAGAAAAGGATGTCTGTGGTCACTTAAGCCAGAGAGACGTGAACAGATGGATAAAGAGATCAGAAAGTGGAAGAAGAAGCATACAGAAGCTATCAGAGCCAGCATGGCAAATCCAGGTGATTAGTTAATGTTATGATGTCATGGCTGAATTCCGTAATGAGCAAGATAAAAGGAATCCTGTGTTCTGATTGGCTAAGGGTGGATTTCCACTGTCGCATAATTTAAACATTCGTACGCACATAACATTTCTGTGCATAAATAAAATAGAGACAAGGTATAAAAGACCACACATAAACTTGCCTCTATTTTATTTATGTGCATATGCACATAAAAATTTCACGACAGTGGAAATCCACCTTTACTGACTGGGCAAGATGCGCCTATCTTGCCATCCCAGGATTTACCGTTTTTGTTGTGCAAGAAAAAGTCCTCTTTTGGCTATAATAAATTATAATAAATCATTTATTGACCAAGCTTATTCAGTCAAGGTGGTTGGGTAATCATAATGGCCTCTTTCTTTTTTGCAACATTAAAAGGGAAAAAAAACTTAGCCAAGATACATATCCAGCATCTTGATCTCATTAATCAATAATGCATAGAGCTGATATCATTTTGGAGTATGGAGTATTGGTGAAGGATGGGTGGGGATGTGGGATAATCACGGCAAATAAACCTAAAATACCAAGAAATTAACGGTTACTTCAATCTGCTGTTAACGGATTTGTAGATTTGTATTCTGAGTGTTTTTGTTTTGTATTCATTTCATTCTCAGAAGAACTGTCCATTTCAAATGATGACCTAGACAGCTCTCCTGAACAGATCCTGTCCCAAACAGAAAACTGTGAGGATATAGCAGCAGCTGATGCGGCAAAGGAACTCTTTGGCAATGACTTGATTCAGGAAATTCAACAAAATGACGTCCTTGACTGGGATGACATTATTTCTCAAAGTACAGAGCTACCGATTGATCCTACACTTAGCACTTGCACAACTTTACCAATGTCGACAACACATCTCAATGGAATACAGGGATGTGACACTATAACCACTACAGTAGAAATGGATAACTCAGCACAATATTTTGTAAACAGCGATGGGCAGGATTTTGACATCCCTTTACCATACAGCATGTCACACTACTATGGTATGCAACCTCAACAACATATCAATGTAGGATTTTGATTTAAGTGACAGATATTTAGCTAGGAGTTTGAAAAACAAATTTCTTTAATGTACAGAGAATAGAATAACAATGCCAGAACCCTGGAACATGAGAAAGAATGGTTGTTTTTTAATGAATTGCAGCAAGGTCAAAAAAAGTTTTTAATTTATTAAGCAATATTGTCCGGCTTCGTTAAGTTCCATTCCTGTTTGCAGTGAGCAATCTAAATTATAAGTCTGTGGATCTTTTCAATAAAAGCTTAACTTTGTAGGTTGCTGCCTTCATTTTAGTTCAACTGAATTAGTTCTCAAGGGAAAAGCAGGAAAGGAGAATGATGTAATATTAACAACACTACATTAACCCTTTATATTCCAAGAGCAACAAACATCCATTTTCTCCTGTTATTATCATTAGACCAATCGAGGGAAAAGGCTGTGAGAAGTGATAAAATGATCACCAAAGGAAAAATGCTCTGATCTTCTATCAAATTCTCCCAACTATTTCTGTTAAGAAATGTATAGAGATCAGTCGGGAGAATTTGCATGTAGGTAGCGTTGGCGTAAAGGGTTAATAAATGTGATACCCCATACTCCAGCTTAAGAATCTGCAAGTTTAGCTAGATCTTTTGGCGTATAGATATCAAATATTTCATTGCCCTCATATTCATATTTTTTTCTTAGGGTAGTTGTTTTTTAAAAGTGACTGTGGTCTGCAGTTAATATCTTCATCACAAAATTGTTACACCAATGACTGCATGCTATGCAAAAACAACGTTGCAATATTATTTCAAAGTTTTGGTATTTAAGTTTTAATTTTATGGTTTTGCTTTATGCAGAACTGATCAGTGGTAGTTAAAACATAATTGTTGGTGGCAAAGTATTTCTTTTTGGGCTTAAAAGTGAGGTTAGTTGTCTTCTGATGTAGGTCAGATTGTAAACTCAAAGTTTACTAGACTAGTTATTTTAACCATCCATCTTTGTTGAATGTTGCCAATATGATTCCCCTATCTAGGAAATAAAACTGTCAGTATTGAACAGTCTTCTAACAGTGTTTAGTTCACTTGGTGACACTGAGGTCAATTGAACCAATCTCATTCAGTCTACCAATAAATTTTTAAGTAATTTATTAGAAAATTAAGTATTCAATCATTGTACATGTTCACAATTTTTTCGCAAAATAGAGATTACTCTCACAAAATACCAAGCAAAACACATAGTGGCACTCACTTTGCAAAGGAACTCCATTTTTGTAAAATAACCATCTACTTCAGAATCACTAGGATTTAAAATAGTATTTGTAAATACATATTATCAATTTAAGTTCTGCTTGGTCATTTGTTGTTTAGCTGTAAAAATGTCTTTCACTATTGATTAGGTCAATCATCTGTGCTCGTGAATTCTTAAAAGCTAATTACGTTAAGAGCTATAACAATCAGTTTTAAGTTACAGTGAAAAGTAATGATTATAATATTATTATTATAATATATGGCTAATGTACAACTTGTAAATAAGATCATTTCAGTGGTGTGCTATTGTATTTCAGATTTATAAATTGCTGGAGTATGTAGAACATTATTATTTGTATTGCAAAAAGCAAATGTGCTTTATTGCAGCTAATAAAGGAAACCTCAGGAACTTAATATTGGTTGAGTCTCATTTTATTTAATTTCAATAATTGTGCGACTGGATGATAAGCCCCCCTTCAACAAAAAGGCGTTAAAAAAAAGGCCCAGATATGGGTAGTGCTTTTGATTAGTCATGCCGCATGGGAAATTTGCTCAAACCAATCAGAAGTGCTGCCCAGATCTAGGTAGTGACGTGTCATCAGTATGGAATTTCTGCACTTGTTTCTCAGACGTCATTCCATGGGGAAACCATTAGTGGCATCATGAAATGTTAGCTGTTTTCTCGGCTACTGAAAAAACAAAATGGTCTTTTAAAGAAATGTATGATACTAAACCCTTAAAATTTAAAAAAAGGATCATACAGTGAGTCAAAAAGTGAGTCAAAAAGTTCTTTGAAGTTGATTTTTGTATTTAGCATGATGTTTTTTTTTGTACTGTACAACCCAGTTTCCATGACTGCTATGATTGTTGTGATAGCTAAAAAAGATAGTTCAGCAATCACAGCCTGTGTACAGACCCCCGTCCCCTCTGACCTCTTTGAAGCCTAAAGCATTTTATGATGGCTAAAGAACCTTTCAATAAAGATTTCAGTTTCTTGTCTCCAAAATCTCTGAATCTGAAAAGATACATGCATGTAGTTGTCTGTGAATGTGATGATTTTCTGGTTGCCTGCTATGTTTTGACGAAAGGCCCTAAAGCCAATCAAAATCCATCATTAACATGCTGTAGCCAACTATGAGGATTAGCCAATCAAATCATTTTCCACACATTCTAGGAAAAATCAAGGGACCTCCACACACGACTAGCAACGGTGAATCACAGATACCCCTTCTCTGATTTTTCTTTCTATCACTGCGACCACTACACTTGGTGAATAGTGGTTTCCATATGATTGCTATGATCCAGGGATCACAGTGATTATAGTGATCATATGTACCTTTTCCACTTTGCATTCTAGTTCTTTATAATTTTGGAGAACTGATACTATCATCTTTGCGAAATCAAATAAGCTCCCCCTCTTAAATAACTCCCCCATCCCTATTAAGGCCCCCTCAAATGTGTTTGAAATATATAAGCCCCCTCAGAGGATTTACAGTATTAATGTTCCCCCAAAATGCTTTACAAAATTAATGTAGTATCCTGGAATTGGTAGTTCACAGCCACTGCCAAACTTTGATTCTAACATTTCTTAAAAAAGAAGAAACCATTGTTGCCTCACTTTAACATCTCCCTCTCTCTCCACTCGAATGTTCAAAATGGAACTGCAGGCGAAGTGATCAAAGGGCTTTGGAAAAAATGGTTGTTGGTTACCATCACCCATTTCATGAAGTGATCTAGGTTGGAATCAGCTTCTACATCAGTAATAAAAAAATTAAAATTTTGCTGTTTACAGTTACTTATATCTTCTCAAGATTCTAATAGCCAGTAAGATAATTTTTAGTGGGTTACTTTTTTTTTATCTAAATTGATTAAAAATAACCAAATTTACAACATAAGCAAGACAAAATTGATGCTAAAAAATAATGACGTTTTGGAGTTGTCATGACACCATTATCAAGTTCAAAATGATCAGAATAAACTGTGAGATCATGAAAATCTAATATTAATATTAATTTTTTCTCTCTTATACATTACTTAATTTCTGCTCAAACTGAATTACCAGAGACCCTACTATAAACCCCTAACCCAGACTGCAGTTGTTCCGATTGACATCGTATCTGCTGGTGTAAAGGTTTGACTTCAAATGGAAATATACTAGTGAAATGTGGATCAAGCTTGTCATAGTTATATCTAAACACTGTTACTCTTAATTTGTACTAAAACACTGATAATTTATTGCGGAGTAAAAAAGTGTTGGTGACATGACAAAGAAGATCACCTAGACATTATACTGAGTGGTCTCAAGTTGGTAGAATTACAGGTATAGGCCAAACCTGTAACATTTTGATGCAAAATTACAATGTGCCTTATATCTGTCACAGAAGGGAATAATTACACTATGCTGTCAGCAAGTTGCGAGAAAAATTTGAGTTTGCTTCCTCATCTGCATCAGCAACATCATCAATGTGGGACAGCTGTACATAAATAGTACCAGCTAGCATAATTTATATATTAATACCAATACAAAGATGATATAAAACATGTTTTAATATAAAAAGGTAAGGAAAAGATGTCTAGAAATAATTTCTTTCAAAACAACAATGGCATAGTCCAAAGAAGAGTCTAAATCCTCTGGTTAGTTTTACCAGTTCCAAAGAAATTCTTTACAATTAAAACTTGACAAATACCCACTCCAATGAGAGCAATACTTTGTATAAGTGACCACCAAAAAACCCTGCTTGAGCTTCTACTGACAATAGCATGACTCTTGAAATTCTTTTTAGTCAAGTAGGCCTGGTAATGCTGTGCTTTCTCAAGTGTGTCTTTGATATTTGCAAGGGTATTCTGTCAATGAAAGAGAGTGAGAAAGAATTAAGTCACACATATAATTATTACAATAATTATCTTGATAACACAAAGTTGGAAATTGAGTAATTTTCAATTTACAGTGGACAAAAACCTTGTACCAGAGTAATATAATTCATTTTTACATTTTGCAAGGGCTATAGATATAATAATTTTAGTTATGCGTTATGACACCAAAGACTATTCCTCATGGGAGCCCAAGAAAAAAATTGTCAAATTGCAAAAGAATCGTGAAAACTCACTGTAAGATGTCATTTTCTGAAATTTGACGTTCATTTTCCCGGGATCTCATGCGAAATTTTCTTTGGTGTTATTACAGATAACTAATTACATCTATAGCTCTTGAAAAATGTTAAAAAGTATTCAATATTGTGTAAATTATTCTCGTACAAGGTTTTTGTCCACTGAAAATTAAAATATTATTACTCAATTAGCTGATGGACTTTGTCCATATTATATTCATAAATATGAGTTTTAAAGTTTAAAATAATTCACAAAAAGGAAACAGAGGAAATCTGCTTGAAGGACATGAATGGACTGCCATTTAAAACTGATTACCAAAGGACTCTGCAAACTATAACTCCAACTGATTTTTTTTTCAAAACTTACTGATCATTTTTAAGGGTTCTTAATATGACCCCCATCAAGGCAGTGCATTATTGGATAGCAAGACAGCCTCTGAAATTGGTCCAAAAAAGAACCCCTGCCCCACTCACTTGGGCTGGGCTGGAGAGCTCACAGATAGTGTCTAGCCCATTAATTTTGAGAGTGTGTTTGAGAGTGCTCTAAAAAGTTATCATGTTAGAAAGTTATCTATACAGTATCTTATAGCCTGCGAGCAAGCTTTCAGGGGCATTCTGGTGGCGGGGCAGGAAAAGGAAGAAGAGCAAGCAACTATGTCTCTAGAATTTGAAATCCGCCTCCAATTCCCCTGGGGCTCTCCATCAACTGAGCTGTGCAATTTCCAATCATGAGAGTGAAGCAGAAATGAGCAAAAATGTCATCCAATTCCAGAGACGTTGTTGCAAGTTCTCCTTTCTTTTCCCACCCAACTGCCAGACTGCCACAGGGAGCTTGCTCGCAGGCTTTGTATCTAAGGGCTTTTTTAAGTACCTTTTCGCTTCTTAATGTCATCTTGCTTGTGCAATTTTGACACAACTGATAATTTTTATATAACTTTTGTTTTGCTAGAGCTCACAACAAATATGACAAAGATTTCACATGTTTTCAAAACTTGATTTAACCTTGCAACACTAGAAGAAAATTTTACTAGCCTCATAAATAATAACAAATGTTTATGCACGGCTTCTTTTTATGGTCATGATTCTAGCTTCAAAGGCAAACTCATATATGCCATTTCCTGACTTAACTGAACTTGACAATTGTTTGACTGTGGGCATTAATTGATAGCAATTAATGCACACAGACTTGTACATCTTTTTTACAGATATGTTCTAGTTTACTGACTTACAGTGTGTATTTTCTGGCAATAAAGACAATGTTATTTTGAGGCCAAAATTTTGAAAAACAAAATAGGCATGGACCTTTGAATTAGCACCTAACCCTTGACTAAAATTTAATAATTCCCCCCCCCACCCCCCATGATTAAATTCAAGCATTTACTCCCGGCGAAGTCAATTGAACGAGATCGAACCAAAAATCAATCAAACTCAATCGAACCCAATTGGTTGGATTGTTGTTCGACTGGTTTGGTCATCGAACATGATCAAACTGGAACTTTTTGGTGAGTTTGATCACCGAACTCAATCGACACGATTAGTTCAATTGTGTTTGGCAGAAAGACAAAATGCATCCAGTTTCAATTGAATCGGAAATATCTCCCTCCACTATATACGTGAAGCAGTTTGAAATAAAAAATAATTGAATTAACTAAAATCTTTGTTGTTAAAGTGATTCAAAATAGATCAATTCACAATTAATACTGGGAAGCATGAATGGCCCAATTAAACAATGTAAAATTCCTTCCCGAAACAATACCACCCAGAGATATTCTTAGGATACTAGCCAAACCGTCTTTGACAAAGTTTCGATTAGAAAAGGACACCGTAACTCGATCTGAACACACGCAAAAACGTAGAGCATTTTCAAAATAGTCATTACTAGCACTACCGGCTCATTACTAGCCTGCATAGCAGTAGGTGCTTGGAAGTATTTGGACACAAGAAAGAAGGGGCGCACGAGAGGGAGACACACGAGGAGAGGCTGTATCCCTTACCCGCCCCGTTCTTTCTTGCACCCACTACTCCTACCCACTACGCCTTGTTTGAAACCAGATGAAACTGGTTTTATGTTCGATTGTTGCAGAGTTCGATTTCCGCACGTTTGATTGTCTTCAATAGGAAAATTTTGGGGTGAGTTCCATTGGGTTCAATAAATATTACTGAACGCTCAATTGACTACGCCGGGTTTACTGTAAAGAGATATAGACACTACAAGAAGCTGACGGGCTAAAAATAACATACCCTAATGCTCTCTATTTGCAATTCAGTACCGTCAAAGTCACCTTCTTCTAATGACTTGACCCAGGAATCCTCATCAGAAGTATCGAGACCTAAGTCCACATACACAACTTTCTGTGCCAGAGTACTGAATGAATTATCAAAGCAGAATGAGTAGACACCAGGTTCACTTGTTACAATACTATGCACCTCGTCTCCTTTCTTTTCATCATTCACTAGCACAACTCCATTGGGTGATACTACTTGAAAGCTAATGTCCATTTCTCCACCTCCTTCAACAACCTTGATATTAAAACAAGTCAAAGGTTATAGAGTGAAAACTGGCTAAGTTGACCCCATATTAAGCTGTCTCCCTATATATATCTTCCCTGCTTTCTGTAACACAAACCTGTATTTGGAAGAAACCTATCTTAAGCTAAAACAAGCTTGCTGTAGTCCTGAAGAGTCCACCAAATACAAGTGTCTCAGAGTTAAACCTTTTAAGGCAAAAAAATATAAACTTGATCTCTAAGGAACATTCCTAATGATGAATAAGTAATTAGAGTCACAGTATATAAATTGAAATGTATAGTATGTGTGTGCACGAGATTTCTGTAGTTACTGGTATATAAAAATTAATAACCGTGTAAAACTCTTTCAAATTTTAAAGAGAATACAGGATAAGTAGCACTATTCTGTTTCCTATCTCCCTCTTCCTTTTTAGGTCATAATTGTGCAAGAGATTAATTAAATACCAAAGTCAGCTGGGTGTAAAATAATATTGAAGGGATTTGGCTTGGTAATGTATTAGTGATGACAATTAGGTCAATTCACGGGAAATTTAAGAATATATATTACCTCTGAACATGCTACCTTCAACCACATTAGAATAATGCGCATAATACAAAAAAAATCTATTGCTGAGCTTATTCTAAAGCTAACACAGAAACTCTGATTTTAAAGAAAATATTGAACTTTAGTTTTTACCAAATCAGTGAATAGCAATTTTCGCACTTTTTGATTGGCTCCCGTAACTTGGAATATCCTTAGCTATTCACTGTTTTGTGACCCGAGCCAAGATGGCGTCTTGTTTCGAGGCATTTTGAACAGGATAAAAAAAATCTTCAAATTGATGGATCGTTCTCTGTGCCCTACAGGATACATTTGATGAATTATTTGGGGTCTTTGGGGATTTTTATGCATCAGGGAGGCAACACGCAAAGGTGACAAAATCACTGAAAATTAATTAGAATTAATTGTAAGGATTCTAAATGTAAAGTATCGTAATATTGTTTGTGTGTCCGAAATAAATAAATAAAAAAAACTTGGCCCACAAAAAAAAAAAATCACTGAGTAATTTATTGTAGTTTAATCAGACAAAAACAAAAATAAAACTAGAACTGGAACTGGATCAGATGATGGCAACAGTGCTTGAACAACGCCGAGAAAGGGTTGGAACTGATAAAAATGATATATCCTACTCACTGCTTTATCTCAGGTGTGAATTTTTGAACTTAATACTTATTCAACAGAATTATTGAATGAGGCTGAGTATGAAATGAGGCCAAAGCCCCGAGATGGATAATAGCATCTGAGATCTGCATAATTCTTCATGTCACGTATGAAAGCTGAATTCAATGACTGTTTTATAATCAATTCAAAATATTTCTAAGTTCGTAACAGTCTATCCTCCTTGTAGATTTTCTTCAAAACGTTTGCCTGTTTTTTGGCATATTTTGAGCATATGAACAAATATTTTATTGCCCATGAAAATACTCTTCAAAAGGTAGATGATATCCACCGAGCAATATTTTTTGTGTATTCTAGCATTTTTTCCATTCAGTTAGAGTCAGTGATTAGGCCATTTTGTCTTCGGATTAATTGCGGTAAACTCTCTCTTTCTTTAAATTTCAATCAAGCCTAAACAGCTAGCCTCCCGCGCTGCCACATTGAAGCGAGCTTGTGATTGTATATTGGGACAATATACCATTGCATTGCTTGCATCTTCAAAATCTGGTCAGTGCCAGCTGGTTTTGAGGAGTCGGCTGGGGGATTAAAGTAAGTCACAAATGGCAAAATATTTTATAATGAGTAATGATAACTTTAAAAAAGAACAAAAATTTCCAACAAAGTTATAAGATAAACAAACACATATATGGCACCTATAAAATCATTACATACTTTACAAAAGATACATCACCCTTGTTTCAAGTGTAATAAGTAAAATTATGTGAAATAATGCAAAGAGGCTTTTGTTCATGTATTGGAATGTGGTAAGTGTTTCACAAAGATTGAGATACATGTCTGTATTGGGATCAGTCACATCTCAAAGTTTCAACTTCAT